TACCATTCGGAGGAGGTTCTTGAAAGAAGAGCATCCTGTACAGAGGGATACCCACAGTGTTTGCCTCCCTGTCTTCAACACAGCAGGGCCAAACATTTCCCAGCTTTTAGGCAGCGTCTCAAAGACCTTCAGACCACAATTAACAGCGCTGGGATGGAGTGCCAAGACAAACGCACACTGGGTCTAGCGGTAGGAAACACCACGTTCTCCAGATATATGTACCAGTCCCTTGATGTTTTACCACTGAAAGTTGATGATCCAAAAATAACACAATTGTACATTCACCATATCTGGCTCAACTTCCCTTCAGGATCAATAAAGTCTTTTCTATCTATCATATAAAGGAAAGCAAGAAAAACTGCACGACCTATCAGTGTTGTATATTGCAACAAAAAAAAACAACTCTGTTGAAAATAACTGCACATTTTTTTAACTGTACCATGATCACCATTCTTCCAACCCTAGCAAACGATCGATTGATCTTCCTTTGCCTTTGAGAACATAGTGAAGGTGCTTCCTGTACCGTTGTGTTAGGTCTTGTTAGGCTTGTTAGGCTCTGGCTCATCTCAGCAGGACTTCTTGACTGCTCCATACATCATATGGTCCCATTTGACCTGGGAATGAGTTATCATTTGACAAACTACTGTCTCTTCTTTTTTAGGTTACCAAATTCTGGCAAAGACACCAGATCCATGAGGTCAACCTTGTTTGGTCGTCTTGGAGACACTGTATCTTGATGATGAATTTTTCATTTTTGAAGATTCTCCTAGGAATGTGGCCCTCGGGTGTGAGTTAGCATCCCAATCCAGTTTTCGGACCTCATATTTGGGTATTTTGTACCATGCCATTAACATTGAACAGCACCGTCAGTACTGGCATATCTGTTTTTGTAGCTGTTACACCAGTTGCCGAAGGCTGCTGATCTTTTGCTTTAGATCTTCAGACTGCTCTCTGACTCTGACACAAGTGGTTTGCTTCCGCGCAAAGCCTGTCCTCAAGTAGCCTGTGCTAATGAAGCTGACTTCGAGAAGCTTCTACGAGGTTTTCCGAGGTTCAGTGGAAGCAACCGGACGACTAAAACCTGCTGCCAAATGAAATCCATCTCATTTATTTTCAAAAGACACACAGAGTGTGTAGCAGCCCAGATAGACATCAGGTATTTAGAAAAATGTACAGTTAAAGCACTTTGGTCAAGACCACAACAGCAGCCTCCCTCTGGGGATCTGAGTCCAGGATCGGTACAGAGCTCCACACTGCTGTCCCAGGATTGCAAGAGCAGAACAAGGCCCCATTGCACTAGTTAGGGTACCGTCCATCGCGAGCGTAAGCTGTTCTAGGACCTACACATTTAGTGGCCTGCGAGTTTCAGACAGCCCCCGGAAGGAAAGCTTGGCAGCACTATGCCTCGCACCCATTCCTACAACTGGGCTCACTGGAACTCACAGGGCACATCATTATTCCACCTTCAGTTAACCATCCAGGAAGCCACTTTTTCAAGAGAGACCTCAAGAAGGCAGCGACAACAAGGCACACACCCAGACCCCCTCACTCACACACTTCAACAATAAACACACAGCCGTGCTGTGACCTGTGTGGGAACATTATGCTGGATGTAGTTGGCGGTCTCTCGGCCACGTCCGCTGTACGCAGGGCCTGAGCCTCCGTCAGCTCCAGCTGCAGGGAGGAAGTGTGGAGGAGCCGACCAGCCAGCTGGATCTTTTCTCTGTCATATACAGTACTCATCTGTTGTGCATAGCAGGACAGTATGTTTTAGACAGCAACCGATAATCAACAGCACTAGCAGCTGTTGTACATGTAGCAGTAGCAGCACTAGCAGGTGTTGTATTCATAGCAGTTACAGCAGTATCAGGTGTTGCACTTGTAGCAGTAGCAGCAGTATGAGGTGTTGTATTTATAGTAGTAACAGGAGTATCAGGTATTGTACTTGTAGCAGTATCAGCAGTATCAGGTGTTTTACTTGTAGCAGTAGCAGCAGTATCAGGTGCTGTACATGTAGCAGTAGTAGCAGTAGCAGGTGTTGTACTTGTAGCAATAGCAGCAGTATCAGGTGTTGTACTTGTAGCTGTAACAGCAGTATCAGGTGTTGTACTTGTAGCTGTAACAGCAGTATCAGGTGTTGTACTGTGCAGCAGATGCAGTAACAGAATGTTATTTGTTACTTGGTTGTGGAATACTGTTCCCCTTGTTCTAACAATTCTCCATTATAAATAATCATGTTTCCCCAGTCCAAAGATAATGCATCCCTTTGAAAAAATATTCTCAGAAGTACCCCTTACACAAGTCTTCAAGGGGAAATGTTCCACAATTACTCCTGGACATCCACAGCCCTGCGGGGTTTGTAGTAGTCCATCAAAATAACCCACCACTGTGTGGCTGGAGAAAATGGCAGTTGAGAGCCACTAAACCAACAGCCGAGTCAGGTAAAGTACTGAGGATGTGTGGGGCTCAGGGGGTTGGTGCCTGCCAGTCTGGCCAGATCAGGGTTCCTGCATGGCGTGTCCAGGAGGTGTGCGTTGGGGGCACGCGCTGACACACGGCCCTGATCGCAGCTGGCTTGCCTGCCTTGAAACGGACAGGGCTTGACCAGTGGCACTTTGCTTGTCTTTGGCCATGCTCTTTGACCATTTTATTTTTAAAATTGAAACCCTAAACACGACACAGCCCTTATACAGTAATACTGCTATTTAATTTGACTTCTAATGGGGCTTTCATAAGGCAGTAATACAATATTGAAAGATAAAAGAATAATATTGAATCATCGGCACATATCATAGACAATTACATTTTTGATCCAGACAACAATGGCTGATCTAAAAAGCTGCATTAGAGCTACATGTTTGAACACAGAAACATCTGGGAATTCTGCTTGTTTCCATGGATCTGCAGATGCTTTCGTCTTCAATACAGTCACTGTGGACAGGACCTCACTCTTCCATGTCTTTTGGTGGACTGAGTGCTGCGGGGTTCAGTCACAGGATCACACGCAGTGACCAAGGGGCTGACCCACAGAACCACAGGGCCCGCCTGCCTCCCTGCAGCACAAAGTATCGTTGCCTTTAGAATGTCTGAAAAGGGACTATTGGGTTTGGGAGAGCACACGGTAGCAGGAATGGTCCGCAATCATTGTTCAGCACCAGTCGCCACCCCCCAGTAACACAACTATAAACGACTAAAGGGAGATTGGTCTGTGTCCAGCTGATGCCACTGTCCTAGACTGTCCAGAATATTTTTGGCCGCGTGTTTGTGTGTGAACACGCGCCTGCAACTATCACAAAACGCTTTCCGCGGCAAACACAGGGAGGGAGGGTGTGTATTACGGGGCAGGATCAGACAGCACACACCCCCCCCCTTCTTTCAACACTCCCTTTCTGTCTCCATCTCCTCTCTCCTCTCTCTCATTCTCATTCAGAGGTGCATCCCAGGAGAGGCTACATGACATGTATTGGCCCCAGCAATGACAACGGAAACACCACCATCTCTTGTTAATCTTTCACTGCCCCCCCCCTGCATTGTGAACCGAATCTCCCTCAGATGCAGCTGTGTTTCATGGAAAACAACTGTCTCCCCAGTATTGCCGGTATTTTGACCACTACGCGAGGAACAGTGCCAACACTCAGAGTTGACACTCTTTCTGCTCTGTCGGAGATTCAAGCGTGCTTTTTTGTTCTTCAAGAATGACTGTTGCTGTCACAATTGTTGCTGAATCAGAGATGGATAAGCAGCACATGTATTTCCAGATAAAATCACTCTGCCTTTCCTCTGGTTCCTGCTGTATCTCCGTCTCTCTCCTGCTCCCCTCTCCCTCTCCCAGATGCCAGGGTACATCGTGGGGAAGGCTGTTCACGTCAAGTGGGTACATCAGGTGTTTCCAAGGAGGAGACAACAGATATCCAACATCCAGAACAAGCATTTAGCATGACAGTTCCTCACTCCAACCCCTGACTCTCCACCTTTATTTTCCTCTAGTCATCTCAATTCATTTTGATTAAAAAAGTACTGTCACAGCTTCAGGAACAGATCACAAAAGGTGAAAACCTACAATTTATAAGGAAAGGTACAAACCCCTCTTTTGAGGTGCAATATTAATAAAGGATCAAGGAAGATAACAAAGAGATGTCCAGGACGCACTCTCCTGCTCCCTGTCTCTGCTGTCAGTGTGCCGACAGCACTCATCCCTGTCCTCATCCTGACGGCTCTCTCCGGGCTGTACGGGTTTGGTAGTGGGAATCCAGAAGTATTCCCGCAAAATAGTGTAGCGGGAAATCATTATATCGCTTTTTCTTTCTTTGCACATCTCTCTCGACTCTGAACGGTGTTCAGCGTCTGAGGTCTTGCAGTTTTGCCTCAGGACTGCACTCCTACACAGAGCACCAATACCAACTCAAAGCTCAACAGCAGCAGTGCTTGGAATACCAATAATATGAATAATCATCTTTATTGTATTCCAGTTTTTAAACTAAAGGCGCTTGTTTGCTACCATTTTTTTGGAGCATTTTGAACACAGAAGATGAGAGTGAGGCGGTGAGGTTCACCAACTGTTACAGCACCAACAGCTCCCCAAAAAACTGCACAGTCTGTCGTGCACCAGCCTGCTCAGCCCTGAAGTCTCCCCTCGTGTTTTCAGAAACAAGCCGCGCTGCCTCAGCTCTTAAAAATGACAATTCCTGTCCTCTCATTCCCTTCTGTGCATGTGCACATCCATCGTAGTGGTGTGGGAGTGTGAGGAGAACACAGAGCATTTTATCATCGCTGGTTTCACAGAGGCTTTTAAAACATAAAAGACGAGCAGGTCAAGTCGCTTGACCAGCAACACACACTGTTCCACTGTGGGAGCTACAGCCCCCCAGCATCACACACACACACACACACACACACGTTGCACAATGCACTACTTTCCATTCTGAGACCGGAAACAAAAAGACACACAAATCCGTGCTGTCCTTCGCTCCTATGTCTGCAAGCCTTTTTGGGGTACTCACCATGGTACTCGTGTCCCGGAATGTACGTGGTGGGGTTCCCGGCGATCTGCAACGTGATCAGCACCTCTCCCGAGTCTATGCCCCCCTCCAGCTCCCCGTGATGCGTGCACAGGAAGAAGAAGGGGTTGAAACGGGGGTAGAAGCCTGCAGGGGGGGTCCCCAAATCCGCATGGCTCCTCCCCAGCGCCAGGGCCAGGAGGGTGTAAGTCAGGGCTGCCCCCGGGGCTAAGAGCGCCATCCCCCCAGGAGAGACACGCGGCGCACCCCACACAGAACGAGGGAGAGGGAGAGAGAGGTGTGCTGGGGTGGAAGGAAGGCAGAGTCCCCCAAGAGGGACCGAGGGAGAGCCCCACACAGACAAGAGTTGGCTCGCCGGAGAGAGTAGGGATGCCTACAGCTGACTGGGTCGGAGTGAGTTTGCAGCCCAAGCTGGCTTGAAGTGCTGGCTGGCACTGACTAGCCTGCCTCTTCTCCCCACTCGCAGGCTGGCTCCCTGACTGACTGACCGACCGAAAGAGTGAGTCTGGCTTGTCACTGCCTCCTTCCTCTCTCCCTCCAGTAGCTGGGAGTTGAGAGCCTGTCTGCGCTGTCCTGCTCAGCTCTTAAATACCCAGCCTATCCCCCCCCCCCTCTGCCCTCCCTCTCCGTGCAAACACCAGCCCCACACGTGCAGCAGAGAGAGAGAGAGCAAGACACCTCCCTCCACTCATCCCTCCCTCTTTCCTCAGTCTGTCATTCTCTCCCTGCCTCTACCCTATCTTTATCTCCCTATCACTCCCTGTATTTATTTCTCTCCAAATTCCCGACATCGTCTCCCGCCTGCCTGCTCGCCTCTTTCACTTGTTCCCTTGCAAGCCCTGTCTGCCAGCGTTTCAGCACTTCTTTCAGCCAAGTTTCCCGATCCGCCTCTCTTTGCCTCTCTCGTTCGTCCTTTCTTCTCTTTCCCTCCAGGCTTCTCTCTTCCTCTCCTCCCTGGTGTCACACCTCCTCCCCCCGTATCCTCTCACCTCGTTCTGCCTTCGTGCTGCTTTCTGTGACGATGCCTCTCTCTTCCTCTCCTTCTCTGGGCCCAGCTTCATGTCTCTTTTCTTCCTCCTTTTTTTCCATCCGATATTCCAAACTTCACTCCCTCTCTCCCCCCTCCCTCTCCCTCTGTTCTGAATTAACTCGCCACTCCAGCAGCACTTTCTCCGCTGATAATAGTGTTTACCCCTCTCTCTCCAGCTCCCTAAATATCTTCCTTGCTCACCAGCGTGCAGCCATCTGCTCTGTAGCTCCTTCTTTTTCCCTGTCTCCGAGAGGAGACAGCCCGTTTCCCTCATTTTCCAGCAGGTCTGGCTCTCCAGCCCCAGCTCTCTCAATTCCACTCTAAAAAGACACAGAAAAAGGCTCTTGATGAAGAAACCCGAGGGCTGCACACAGCCGGATGCCCTAGGGACACCTGTGTTCTGCAGCCAGTGGATGGTAATGAGGAATGGGGCTCGGCTCGGGCATGGTCAGCCTGAACAGACTGGGCCCAGGTTTGCGAATTCCACAGGCTCAAACCCCTTCTTGCAGCTCTCTCCCCCATTTCTTTATTTTTAACTCTTCTGCCTGTCACTCCTGAGCCCCGACACAACTCGAACTGAAACAGTCACAGAACAGATTGCATTCATTTCAGGGGGTTGGGGACATTGGTGGAGGGCAACATGAAGGCATAGCACTGAGCTGCCTTACAGTTCAAGGGTCTCGCATTTCATTTCAGTCCCTGGCATCTGTCTGTGTGGTGCTTGCATGTTCTCACCGTTGTGTTGTGAGGCATTTCCTTCTTGTTGTTCTTTTCTTCTGTGTGAAAGACAAGTGCACTCTCACTCCATGCCACAGACTTTACCAGGATTACTGGATACGAGAATACCACTAGATAGTTGGTTACTCCCGGAGGGCCGATGAGTGGGTGAATCCAGGACGTACCACTCTTGTGGGTTAAGAGGGGTGCGTGTATTTATGTGTGGCAGAGGGGAGTCATCTGGCGTCACACAACTTTCCCCCCCCTTTCCTCATCCAAACCCAGGACCTGAGCCAAGAGCACCAGACCCCCCAGAACATGTGACACAGCCAAACTTGTCTGTGACGGATTTTCAGGCCAGCCCAGAAGAACATGCAGCTGAAATAATGGAGTCTGTGTGCCAGGGAGGGAGGAAGAGGTACACACACTGGCACACCGGGCACACAATATGGTCTGATGACAGCAGGCTGCCCTCCAGTCTTCACCCTTTTCCCAGCAGCCCCTGCTGTCCTATGGGTCATGTGACAGAGAGCTGCAGCATGGTGAGGCACTGAGAAATCGCTAGAAGCAGGGTATCCTTAACACAAGATTTATTCTCCATGCACAAGCTGATCTGAATTTCTCAAAACATTCTGCAGATTTGTCAATAGATTTATGTGAAGCACGGGCATATTTAAGTTTCTTTGTATTGCACAGACGTACTGATGATGATAAATACAGAGTGTTCGTTTCTTAGTATTTTAACAGCCGGGTGACTGGATGGTTTAGTGTTGTGGATAAATTGGACAGGTTGCATTTAAGAAAACAAAACAAAAGACACTATTCAAGGGGCAGCAGCAGCAATGGACAAATACGGTGTATATTATTTGATATATTATGCTGTTTTGAAGACATAAAAAAATCCTCTTGGAAAAAAAATGAATTCTGAAATTGCAGGTAGCAGTCATTTAAGGATTGCAAGTTGGGTAATGGACAGTAAAGAGAGTGCAGATAATGGGGCTGTTCCTCAAATCGGAGAGGAATTAGTGAAGTAAAAAAGCTGTTAAATTGGTCCCAATAGATTGATAATGAGCTGAATGAGGCTGGTAGGACCTGCAGGCACCCTGTACGACCACGATCGCTCACTCTGTTCAAGAGTCTGGCACAGTCAGGAAACTAGTACGCTGGCAATACCGAAACAGAAACCCTTTAGCCGAACAGAAGGAAGTTGAAAAGGATTTTACATAGAATTAGACCATGCAAGCATGGCACAGCAGATGACGGTGGACATAGGCAAGTGCCCAGAATTAGAATGTTACAGCAGTGAACATTAAAACCACAGATTTAAAATGGGAAACACTGAGCTACTGCTGTAAATGATGAGTTTATTTACAGTACCTATATTAAGTCTGTCCCTCCTTTCCAATGTAACGCCTTTTGTGGCCTAACAGCCTGAAATTAAGACACATTAAATCGAAACGTATTTTACTTTTTACTTACACATCGTAACACAATCTCCAGGTGAAAATACACAATTCCACATCAAAACCTAGAAAATGGGTTGGATAAGTGTCCACACCCCTGAGGTAGTACTTGGCGAAAGCACCTTCTGCTTGAATTACAACTTTAACTCAGTTTGGATAAGGCTGTACCAACATAGCACACCTACAATTGCCCAGATGTACATCTTCTAAACAATGTGTAGAAGCGTAGAAAATGCAAAATCGGTTTGGATATACTGTAAAGTACAGAATTTAATCAAGGGATGGTGTATTAAAATTAAAATTGAACAATACTATAGTAAGGCCTCGGTTAACATAATGTGTACAGTTTTGGTCACCACATTATAAAGAAGTGACACAAGTATCTGGAATCAGTCCAGAGAAGGACAATGCAGCGCAATCTGTGGCTTGAAGGAACGTCCTACTGTACACTGACAGGCTAATAGAACTGAATCTTTCTGCTGTTGAACAGAGAAGACTAGGAGGGGGATCTTATTCAGTATTCAGAATCATCAAAGGCAACCCAGAGTATACTTTCTTCAGAGCGAACAGCGCAGCACGAACCCCAGGGTTCCAACTTCCTCACGTTCTCACGGACCCGAGGGAAATGTCCGCGTGCTCCGCGCAGGAGACGGCTGCAGTGCTGGGCGGCCTCCCGCAGGGCCTGAAGCAGACGCTCGTGCAGCAGGCTGACAGCTCACGTACACCGCAGGTTCAGGCCTGCACCAGGAGCGCCGGACACTTCCATTGAGCCGGGGAGACGGCGGACAGATGGGCCCACGGAGCGTGTGAACTCCGTACGCCGCGCGGCTCTGTTCAGTGCGCGCGGGGCTCCAGTGGGGCCGCTGGGAGAGGTGACGGCCCCAGCTCTGGCGCAGGTTCAGGGACCAGTGGGAGCCCCGCGCGGCTCACAGATCCGGAGGGGGGGGCCCGGCGCGATTCCGTGCGCTGCTTTCCCACGCGGGGCTGGCAGCGCAGGAAGCTGGCAGGCGGCTTTGTGTGTGTGCGCGCGGGCGTGGAGGCGAGTCAATGGAGGGGCTCCCGGGCCGGTGCTGATGGACAGCTCCCCGCCAGCCACACAGAACACTGCGCCCTTTCATCGAGCAGCGGCGCCGACAGAAACGCTTTGAAGAACGCTCGCGTGCTCGGGGACCACTGCAGAAGCAACAGGGGCTTTACAGCAATGCAGTGTCCAGTGCTTCTTCATCAGCAAAGTAAAGCACCACTGCCATAAACTGGCCTCAAGCCCCATGTTAGATCATGGGGCAGAGTACTCCCATACACCTCCGCACCAGGACTAGGCACAGACACAGCAGATACAGGAGCGACTGTGGTCAGTGCCCGGGCCTGGCAGGGTCTCGGTGAAGTCTGAGCCCCGATGGACCACCTGGCCTCTTCCTGCTTCCAAGGCTGAGGACAGTGAGACAGTTCCACAGTTAAGCGCAGGGCAATGTAGTTTAAGAGACGGTGCTAGAGCAGGCCGGCAACAGAGGAGACATTCTTCAGGGGCACCAACGAGAAGACGTTTGCGAGGCTTTAATGTGGAGTTGTGGGCACCACGGCTGTCACATGATTGAGGAATAAGTGTTATATTTCAGGTCAAGAGGAATGTGAACAGTTTATTTATTCGGTATATACACATCTTCAAGCACGCATCTTACAACAAACGCTCGTCCAGGTCAGCAAGATTAGGAAATGTGCCCCGGGGCGGGTCACTTAACGCGACCAGAGAACCCTCCCAGTGACGGCGCGACGCGCACGCGGTCCCACAGGGAGAGAGAACGGAAGTCCGCGAGAGGAGAGGTCAGCCGGGGATAAGCGCCAGCCGCAGGGCAGCTCGCCCTCCTGACTCCGGCTCTCCGCCGCGGACAGCCCCGGCCCCCTGCCCCGCCCGTCGCCATGGAGACGGGGTCACAGGAAGTCATACAGGTACTTCACGATGTCGAACCCGACAGTCCTGAGGGGAGAGGGGAGAGAAGAGGGGAATTAGGGGGAGGGGCGGGGAAGAGGGTTGTGCGAGAGAGCTGCTTTCCCCTCGGGGAACGCTGCCAGATAGGACCGCACTCCTTCCCCTGCTGCAACACCCTGGGGGCCAGCTTGAAGTAGTGGTGAAGCCTCTGGGCCATGACTGGCAGGTTGCGGGTTCAAGTCCCTGCTGCAAATACCGAAGGTGCTTTTCACGGGGCAGAGCGGTGGCTCTGTGGCTCTGGATCTGCGCCTGTGGCCGGGAGGTTGCCGGTTCAAATCCCACGGCCGGCAGAATCAACTTCGTGGGGCCCCTGAGCAAGGCCCTTAACCCCAACCGCTCCGGGGGTGCTGTATAAATGGCTGACCCTGCGCTCTGACCCCCAGCTTCTCTCCCTGTCTGTGTGTCTGATAGTGACCAATTCCTACTACAAGAAGTTGTATATGGCCAATAAACTTTCCTATGATAAGTGGGGGGAGTGAGTCCACTTCACGTTGAGCTCTGGCCTGATGAGAGACTGGCTCTGGTATGGACTTTAGCTTTCTTACCGCATCTCACTCCTCCTCCAGCCTGTTCTACAGGCTTGCCCTGCTGGGGCAGGACCGCCTTACAGCAAAGGGCTCAGGTACGGAGGCCACTCCCTGCCAGTACATGTGTTGTGATCCGGGGCTCTCCTGCAGCAGCTC